GAAGAAGAAGAAGAAGAAGAAGAAGAAGAAGAAGAAGAAGAAGAAGAAGAAGAAGAAGAAGAAGAAGAAGAAGAAGAAGAAGAAGAAGAAGATTCGACGCAGAATATTTGGGATGGATAAACATAATTATGGACCGACAAAATGGAAAAGGCTGCCATTTGCTGGACTCTGATTTGGTACTTAAACTCCGTAGAATCTTCCTATAATTGGGGAAAAAATGGTTTGGGACTCGTGATTGAGGTCCCCAGGCGCCAAAGGTTGTCTGATGCCCCTTATATTATGCACAGATAGCCCCTGACTTACAACCATCCATTTAGTGGCCATTCGAAGTTCCATTGACACTGAAAAATGTAATTTATAACCGGTCCTCACAGTTACCCAATGGAAGAGAAGTTGCCTTCGGAAGTTGTGGGAGCTTCATCCCTGGAAGCTTTCAAGAAGAGACTGGACTCTTATTGACTGTGTGATTCACTTAATAACTGTCTTGCCTAACAGCAGAAATTCTGGTCCCAATTGTAAGTCAAGAAACTGTATAATCCTTCGGTGTTTTATTACTCTGTTAAATGCCATGTGATAACTGGTTGTTTTTTTAAAAAAAATTCACTGTAATTAATACGGTCCTTCTTCCCCTTCAATCTGGATTAGCTTCGGTTTATTAAACCTCAGTTTTAATCTCAAGTTATTAAAATGCAGTTTTAAAAACTCTTAAAAAAAACTTCACAGGTGGTTTTTCAGAGGAAATTGGACAATCGTTTGTCTGAAATGGTACAGGGTCTCCTGTTTGAGCAGGGGGTTGGACTAGAAGACCTCCAAGGCCCCTTCCAACTCTGTTATTAGGCAGGTTAAAGAGATTACATAGCAGAGAGATTATTTGGGCTTCTTTTCAAAGACATTGTCCCATCAAGCTCCTTTCTCTTTCAAACAACGCAGTGAAGTTTGTGTTGTTTAATCTTTCTCTCTCTTCTCTCTTTCCCTCGCTCTTTCTCTCTCCCTCCCTCTTTCTCTCCCTCTCTGCTTCTTTCTCTCTGTTTCCTTTCCCTCTTTCTCTCTCTCTCCTTTCTCTCTCCCCCTCATTCCTTCTCTCTCCCTCTCTCTTTCTCTCCCTCTCTCCTTCTTTCTCTCTCCCTCTCTCTGCCCCTTTTTCAATCCATACCAGTTTGATTTTTTTTTAAAAAAAATTCTTTTTGAAATCTCAGTGGCAGAAAAGTATTTTCTCTGTCCCCAGAAGGGGGCGGCCAAACTCCATTACACTTTCTTTTCCACACTTCATTTCATTAGCAAATTGGTGTCTTCCTTCCCAGGAAAAATGCTAACTTCTTTCTCTCCATCATAGCCAAAGAAGAAAAGAGATTTCATTTCTGAGACAGCAGCTCTGTTATAGGGCCCGCTAACATCGATTTTGTAGAAAAACCAGGCTGCACCAAGGCGGGAGTTTTCTTGGGGTTTGCTTATTTCTCTGGATAATTGTTGCATTTTATGAATACAAATAATATATAAAAAAAACCAACGCTCTGCAGACAGATGAGAAANCAGAGAAGAGCAAGAAAGAGGATTAGGGGACGAGGATAAAAGATATGAAGAACGGTTGCAGGAACTGGGTGTGTCTAGTTTAATGAAAAGAAGGACCAGTGGAGACATGATAGCGGAGTTCCGATATCTCAGGGGCTGCCCCAAAGAAGAGGGAGTCAAGCTATTCTCCCAAAGGCACCTGAAGGCAGGACAAAAAGCAATGGGTGGAAACTAATCAAGAAGAGAAGCAACCTAGAACTGAGGAGAAATTTCCTGACAGTGAAAACCATTAACCAGTGGAACAACTTGCCTCCGGAAGTTGTGAATGCTCCAACACTGGAGGGTTTTAAGAAGAGATTGAATAACCATTTGTCTAATATGGTATTTTCTGACTCCTGTGCCAAAAGTGGGGGGGAGCAAAGGGGGGGGGTCATGCGTGGGTGTGTCATACCCATAGTGCTATGCAACACACACACACACGCTTCCCCTGCTTTTGGCATGGGAACCAAAAAAGTTGGTAAGAAATGTTTTCACTTAGCAAGCAAATACTGGGTTCAATTGTCGTAAATCGAGGACTATATGCTCGCATGGAATGGATAAAGCAGTTGTGAGATACTACTAACACACACGCTGATGATATTTTTGTCCTCTTGGGGCTACGAAACACGCTTTCCATTTTTTTTTTTTAGTGGCATTCAGAGTTATCTCTTTAGGTTTCCAAGGATCAGCATGTTTGCAAAAGCTGGTTCAGACCTCAGAGGATTAAATGAGTGGCTTTCAGGGTTTATAAATATTAAAGAGTTGGAAAATATCTACAGAGTTTCTGTTTTTTCATTGGCAAATTAGCATAAGCCGGAGCATAAGTTATTTTTCGGGGACATTTGCTTATTTGTTTTTCTCCCTTTTTTTTTTTTAAAGGCGCGGGGCTCAAATAGCCTTCCTTTTCTCAGAAATCTGTTAGACAAATTGAATGCTAATCAGCAAAACATCTTGAAATTTATTGCCTGCAACGAAATCTTCTTGATGCCAGCTACTGTGTTTATGCTTTTCAGGTATGTGGTCCTTTGTACTCCTTCATCTATATCAGTGTTTCTCAACCTTGGCAAGTTGCCAAGGTTGAGAAACACTGATCTATATATATATATTTTCAAGCTATCTCAACTGCACCTGAGGTTTGGAATGCAGTGTTTCCTGTCTCTCCAAGAAACTTGATTTACTGGGTAAAGTTGAAGGCTCAGGGTAGTGATTTATTCAGGTTTTTGGTTGCCATGAGACCTTTAAAACAACCCCAGAGCTGAACTGCCGAATGTCTGCTCTGGAATTATTTCCAGGCAGCCTGTGGGTACATGCATACTTATTATTTTATTTTATTTATCTTGCCATGTTTGTGTTTAGATTAGAGGTGGAGACCTTTTGAGAGCTGCATGCAATGAAATTTCACTTCAGTGCATGCCGATTGGTGTACATTCAAAGTGACAGTGAAGTTTATTCTCTTCTCTTCTGTAGAAACCGAGTGGAAGACCCGTGTTGATTTAATTATTAGGTGGATTTGATTTTTCAAGTCAGTAGCAAAATCCTAAGATCAACTAAGCCAAAACTGAATTTTGTCCCAAGAATCTATTTTCTTTTTTTAAAAATTCCTGCAGTATCTCAATGCTGTATCTTAACTGCTTTCCAGAAGCCTTTAGGAAAAGCAGGATATAAATTATATAATGTATTAACTGTTGTTTAAGTTAACAATAGGTCTGTGGACACTTAGCAGAGGTAGGTCTGTATACAGAATAGTATTGTAAATAGCTGGGTGTCACTTAAATACACACACGTGTGTGTGTGTATGTATGTATGTATGTATGTTGTGGTCTGCAGAGCTGGCAGCAGATTCGGACAATGAGGAGGTTGGGGAGGAACATGGGCCACAACAGATTGTAACTTCCCAGGGTGGGTCATAAGTCACTTTTTCTGAGGCCGTTATAAGTTTGAAATATTGTTGTCAATAAGTTGAGGACTACCTGGACTTACTAATAATGGATAACTAATATTGTTGTGAATG